GATCTACAAGGGATGCTTCGTGACAGATCTGCAAAGGGGGGAGCTGGTGCGGCGGTACTGCAAAGAATGGGGCGATGATGATGAACTGCACTTGGGAAGAATTTGTCGGAGGCAACACTTCAAAATGGTAAGGGTAGTGGCCAAAAATGAGAGAGAGGGAAGAGAGAGGCATGTTGGGGTGACCGTTAGGAGAGGGAGCGGAGAGATAAGATTAATTAGAGATTTAATATTATTTAATTAATTACTCATATTTAAATTAAGGAATTTAAGTTTGAACTTCTATTTTGAGAATATGACATATGTTTTACTCCTATTTAGGGGTTTTCTTAAATAACAAACTCAACAAACTCATGACAAATTAACTAACAAACTGATAACTATAAAGCTAATATACTCCAACAGCTAATCTACTCCAACAAAGACCCATGATTAATATCATATTGCTCCATAAAGTTTTTTTTTTCATTTTCCAGCCAGCATCACCCCTTTCTCTTCCTCATTAATAAACACTCACCGAAGCCAAGCCGCCATCAAACACCCTCTCATGCAAAGTAATTAATATCACATTTCTCTATAAAGTGATCCTCCTCCATCACGCCCGTTCTCCTATTTCTTTGGCCTATTTCCAACCCGAGCTCATAACATTTAGGTGTGAATTTTCACTGTTCATCTTTTATACATTAGCTTTGTATATATAAAGATTATCAACACTTTTAAATTACATAAAAGTCATATCATATCCTATTAGATCCATTCAAATTGAGTTAGATCTATTTTGATTAGAGCGTCTTTAAAAATTCAGATCAAATTTTATAAATTCAGTCAAAAATAAAATAACCTTACTTTGTAAAATACTCCTTTTCATGACTTAGAAAAATCATGTCAATGCTTTCAAAGAGAAAACGACACGAACACCCACCAATAGTGTTCCAAATGGGGTCGGCATGATACCGAATCGAAAATGAGATTCCCAAAAGGTTTTAATAAATTATATCACGAGTGATATCATTATATTTTTGAAATAGTACGAGACGAGTTCTCAAAAAAAGTATTGGACCATCCAATGTTCTATTTGTTTTGCTATTTTTAAATATTTTTAATTGTTGTTCCTTTTGATCACCTTTTATTAATGAACATGTTTTTATACGGAGTATATTGAAAAGATAGAGTTGGATGATGAAAGAAATAAAAATGATTGGAAAGAATTAGAGAATCGGAAGAAATAAAAAAATGGTAAAAGTCTGCTACCGCGTGCTTTGTACATGGTAATATAATCATACACGAAATATTATGTTAAACATATATATTCAAAGTATTAGAGTCGTCAAATTATATACTCCCTCATTCCCTAAATTAGGGATGGATTGGTTTCGGTATTGGTGAGAGGTAGACCGCCACCGGTATCGATGGCCAGCGGTACACATTTTGATTCTGGATTTTTTTTGAGTATTTTGCTCTTATTAAATTAACTTTTTGTGCAAAAATAATACTCCCTTCATCTTGATTTAATGTTCCTTGTTTCACTTTGCACAGTTAAAAAAAGTAAAATTATATAATTGAAATTAATGTAGAGGAGAAAGATAAAAGGTAGGCTAGAAAAATCTTTTCTTCAAAAAATAGAGAAAGATTAATTTGAGATGACACAAAAAAGAAACAGGAAAATTTATTTTGTGAGAAGGGAGTATATGGCTAAAATGCTTATCCAAATGTAGTTTTTTTACTCGTTAAATAGCTTATTTAAATAGAAAAATGCTTATTGAAGTAGAAAATTAGAGGGAGTACAAGGTGCGCTATGGCCCGACCCAGACTAAGATGGTTACCTGGGGGTACGGGTAGGAGCAATCAATTGAATTGGTGCAATAAATTTACACTATTAATTTTGTGTAGTAAGATGATAGCTTATGGCAAGACAATATGCTACAATAATGTGATATTGGAGCTCACCATAAACCATTTCAAAACTCACTACTAATCATTGCAAAGCTCATCAAGATTTTCCAACACTTAATGTTTTTCACAAACCCCAACATTAAATCTCACTGACTCTTTCTGCAAAGTTCACCATACTTTAATTTAAGTTGAAAATGACTGAAGACTAAAAAAATCAAAGTCATGGATTGGTAGTGCTATTTTTTTAACTTTCTCTTTTTTTTAAAAAAAGTGTTGAGTTTTGCATCATTCTTTCATGAACTTTCCACTGCCAGTTGGTGAACTTTGCATAGGGAGTCGGTGAGCTTTCGACTTTTATTGTCCATGACCACCGACCACTGTCGATGACCCCCACTGTCGCCATGTACTGGTGGTTGAGCGAAAGAATATTTGATTTATAAACAGTTTATAAATTAAAAATTACTTATCAGCAATAAGCTAATAAGCACTAGCATAGAGAAACAACTTTAAACTTCATTGTCCTAAGTTAATATTTTTGCTTGTTTTTTTTTACGTAGTTTAAGAAAATTTAAATTCTTAGGTGTAGTGGAGAGAAATCAATATAAATTTCTTATGTAAACCTTTTAAAGATTGTGGAGTTTATTTTGGATCAACCAAAAAAAGTAAAAAAAAATAGAAATTTACCTAAATAGAACTAAAACATAATGACTTTCCCAATATAAGACCATATGTTTTTATTTCCCAATGTAGGACTTTTAGTCATTATGAGTTAGTCATTATTCAAGTAAATGTTCATCATTTCTGGACATTATTTCTCCCACTAGACATTATTACGTCCTATTTAGGGAATAAAAAAGTTTAAGTCCTACATTGGAAAATGACTTATATTTTAATCATATTTAGTGCAAATTTCACAAAAAATAATTATATAAAAAAGAGATGAATAGTTGTCAAAAAAAGAGAGAAGATGAATATAACCAAATGAAGAATTAACAACTTTTAACTTGCACCACATTATCCAATCTTTCAATTAATCACCACTAGTATCACACCGCGTTGCACGGCTCGTATTTACGTTATAAATTTATATTGATATCATATTTATTGCCACCAAAGTATGAAGTTATCCCCCATCATATGTCCATATAAAAATATACCATCTATAAATAGTATGTATTTTTCATATATACGGAGTATTGTTTTTTCCTAAAATAATTATCATTATATAATATATGCACCGAGATTACCATATGTAATAATAATGTTTTCCATAATAATATATGCACATAAGATTTATTTGAATCTCTAGTGTATTATTCTTCATAGAATTATCTCCTTATTTCTTTTTTTTAAACTTTTACCATTTTTTACAATTATTTACTCCTTTCATTATATTCGCAAATATGTAAATAAAAAAATATTTAAAAACGCTTTTTATATAGTAATCAGTATTATTTTGTATATACAATAATGTACCGAGTACTATTTTATATCCATATTTTATTTCCTTATTTATAACAATTTTTTATATTTAATACTAATAAGTATTATTTTTTATATATAGTAATGTAGTATTGTATATACGTAGTATATTAGATTTTTATCGGATCATGTTACAAATCTTTTAAGACAATACCATTAATATATTAATGTTTTTAGTACTTCCGTCTCAAAATTAAAATGAAATGAAATTAAATTTGTACATAAAAAAAGAAGACATATCTCCATAATAATTTATTTCCAAATGTGGAAATAAAAAAACAAAACAATATAATGCAAATATGGAAAAAACAAAACAATATAACAAAACCTTTGCTTCCGATTTCCCTTTTTAATTCTCACCATATTTTATTTATTTCCTACTTTCATTACTTTATTACTTTTTTTCACAAATATAGAAATATTTGTTAATTAAGTGCATTTTTT